CAGTTTCGGCAAAGCAGTATAACTATTTACAGTACTTGGTATGGCCTCCTTTACGTAATAAGAATATAAGCTCTCTTGAGGGCAGGAATCTGGTCTGTACTGTTCTCTAATGAATCATGATGCCCAACATGTAAAATAGTACCTGATATGTGATAGGTACTTAATATGTAGTTATTGTATTAATTAAGCAATAAACAGTATCATGCAGGTGTCAAGTGAGAATCTTTATGTTCAATTAAAATTATCTCTACACTCATGTCTTGAATTGAGCCATGTCCAGTGAATTCTTATCCCCATGCCCACAATTTTTACAAATCCTCATTCTGTTTGTTTTTATGACCGCCTCAGATTTTGACTTTCTATTTCAAATAAAGTACTCTGGCTGTTGACTGATGGCTGTGTTTTGAAATATATCAATCCATAATGGTACTGAGTCTCTTTTCTTGCTTTCTTCAAATAATCACTCACGTATTGCCCTTTGTGTAAAATATTTTTCTGACTTATTGGTTAAAACAAAAAAAAAAAGTATTTAAAATTTGTGTTAGGTAGTCTTCTTATAAAAAAATCCTTCACCCAGGAGATTACACTTTGGGTTGTGGACACACAAGGCAATATACAGAGGCTGTGTTATAGAACTGTGTACCTGAAATTTATGTTATTAACCTGTTACCCAATCAATTTAATTTTTAAACATCCTTCACTCATCCACTGCTTCACTCAGTCACTCTTTCCCTTTCCTTCATGTCACCCCTAAAAGCCCACCTAAGATGTGGCCCACAGAAAATAAGAAACAAGAAATTCAAGAGGGCAAAGCCAACAGCCATAAAGGATGACGTACATCCTCTAGATTGGAGAACTAAATAATAACCCTCCTGCCCTGACCGGTTTGGCTCAGTGGATAGAACTTCAGCCTGCAGACTGAAGGGTCCCAGGTTCAATTCTGGTCAAGGGCATGTACCTTGGTTTGGGGCACATCCCCGGTTGGGGGTGTGCAGGAGGCAGCTGATCGATGATTCTTTCTCATGGATGTTTCTAAGTCTCTATCCCTCTCTTTTCCTCTCTGAAAAAATCAATAAAATATATATTTTTTTTAAGTTTCTGTTTAAAAAAAAAAAAAGAGAGTTCCATCAAATTTAGCTCCTTTTTCCTTAATACCAGGAGGGCTTCCGAGCTTCAGGCTGCCTGAAGCAGAGCAACCCATTCATGTGGACACTGCAATTCTCTACATTTGCACTTAGTAGGACAGGGAGCAGACTGGTCAAAGGCAGCGTCGCCAACACTCCTAGCGGACTGGCTTCGGTGTGTCCAGGGCTAATGAAAATGAACTCATCAGAGACCGAGCTCCACCTTGTGGCTAAAACGCAAAGCAAGGACATGGGAGTCTTGCCTCAACCTCAGCTTCATGACCTCATTGGGAGAGAACCTCTAGGAATGCTTGATTCACTTCCCTGTGAGCCACCCCAGAGTGGTTTCTATGAGCCTCTGCATAGAAATTGTACTTTTAAAAATATATATATTCTATTTATTTTAGAGAGGGAGAGATAGAAACATCAATGATGAGAGAGAATCACTGATTGGCTGCCTCCTGCACACCCCTTCCTGAGGATCAAGCCTGCAACCCAGGCATATGCCCTTGGCCGGAATCAAACCTAAGACCCTTCAGTCCACAGATCGATGCTCTATCCACTGAGCCAAACCAGCTAGGGCAATAGAAGCTGTACTTTTTAAATCCAGGAAGTCCCCTTCAGCTGAGAACATACAGGAAGAGTCTGGAGATCTCGCCTGTTACCACTGCTACTAGATCAAGAAAATCCAAGTAAAGTGTCAATATTCCCTAATTTGAGACGCTGAGGATTGGCCAAAGGTATTTTCCCCTCACATTCCCATCTCAGGCCTCACCCAGCTCCACACACCATCGAGGTACCTGTTTCCCACATGCCGATACTCCAGCAGGATTGCTTGGGGAGTGTTTTTTAAATGTGGGTGAGGTTCGCCAATGATACATCTGATAAAGGGTTGATATCCAAAAAAAAATATAAAGAACTTATAAGACTCAACACCAAAAAAAAACACATACAAACAATCCAATTAAAAAATGGGCAAAGGCCTGGAACTCAGCAACCAGCTGGTGCAGGCCATCCAGGCCACAGCCAAGTCGGTGTATGACATCCTGTCCCCAGCGGTCCCCATCACTCGTACCCTGCAGGACAAGCGCTTGGTGCGAAGGCGCAAGGGCCAGCAGCCAGCTGACCTCCGGGAGGGCGTAGCCAGGACCTAAGACACCGTTCGAGAGGGCCTCCTGGACACAGCTCAGACCTTCTGTGACGTGGCGATGCGGGGTCACGAGCAGAAGGGACTGAGGGGGGCTGTGGGCGGTGTGATCTGCCAGTTGCCCCCAACGGCGGTGAGGCCCCTCATCCTGGCCACGGAGGCCACGTCCAACCTTCTCGAGGGGATGCGCAACCCCAGATCCTCCCCAACGCACGTAAGGACCACACTCAGAAGTGGTGGTCGGACGAGGCCCAGGACTGAGCACCAGGTGCCCGATTCCAGGGTGCCGCCCGCCCAGCATGCCCAGCGAGCCAGTGGCACCTCGGCTCCCCCGCCCTCCGAGAGCGTGGACAGCCTGGCGGCCGGGCCCTCGGGAAGGATCGGAAGGACCTGCCCCCGGCCTGCCTGCTGCCCGTCGCTGTGAAGGTGGGGCCTCCTGCCTGGGCCTCGGCCCTGTCTCTGCACTTTTCTTGGGGAGAAAGGACCTGTCCCACCACCTGGACCCACAGCAAACCGGGGCCATCCGCTGCCTGGTCCCAGGACGGAGGCTTTTAGACCCTCGGACCCACCCACTCAGCCAAGTGTCTTCTGTGTCTCCGGGGACGTGGGGGAGAGACGCGTGTGGTTCAATGTATTATTTTTAACCGCCTGAGCTTGTGGGTCAGTGTCTGCATGACATGGAATAAACTGCCCACCGCAAAAAAAAAAAAAAAAAAAAAAAAAAAAAAAAAGGGCAAAGGACTGATAGCCAATAGACATATGAAAATATGCTCAGCTTCACTAGTCATCAGAGAAATATAAATTAAAACTACAATGAGGTATCACCCCACGCCTGTCAGAATAGCTACTGTCAATAAATCAACCAACAAGTGCTGGCGAGGATGTGGAGAAAAGGAACCCTCGTGCACTGCTGATGGGAATGCAGACTGGTGCAGCCACTGTGGAGAACAGTATGGAATTTCCTCAAAAAGTTAAAAATAGAATTGCCTTTTGACCCAGCAATTCCACTTCTTGGTATATATCCTAAGAATCTCGAAACACTAATCAGAAAGTATGAATTTTTGTGTGGAATGTAAATAAACTAAAAAAATCACATGAACTTCTTAATTGTATACAAAATTATACAAAACTTTCAGCATAGCCAAAACCGGTTTGGCTCAGTGGATAGAGCATCAGCCTGCGGACTGAAGGGTCCCAGGTTCGATTCCAGTCAAAGGCATGTACATTGGTTGTGGGCACATCCCCGGTGGGGGGTGTGCAGGAGGCAGCTGGTCAATGTTTCTCTCTCATCGATTTTTCTGGCTCTCTATCCCTCTCCCTTTCTCTCTGTAAAGAATCAATAAAATATATTTTTAAAATTTATATATATATATATATATATATATATATATATATATATATGTTTTAAATAAGACAAACCAAATCCTATACCTCCTGAAGCAATGCATGAGGACACCGTTTCATTCATGTAGCATTTCTGCCAAAAATGCATAACCAATCATTAGGAGACTTCAAACTGAAATTGAAGGACATTCTATATAATAAGTAAACTTTGCTCTGCAAATGGCAAAGTCATAAAGGACAAAGATAGGAACTATTCCACATTAAAGTGATATAAAGAAATATGATAATTATATACAATGTGTATCATTTTGAATCCAGGGTGGCTTTTTATTATAAAAGATATTAGAGAATTGACAAACTTTGAATAAAACCTCTAAATTAGATAACATGGATGAGAGAGAATCATCAATCAGCTGCCTCTTGCACACCCCCTACTGGAGATGTGCCCGCAACCAAGGTACATACCCTTGACTGAAATCAAACCTGGGACCTTTCAGTCCGCAGGCCAACGCTCTATACACTGACCCAAACCAGTTTCAGCCATGCTCATAACTTTTAATAAAATTTCCTCACATTTATTATGCACATATAATTTACTCTAGTATAAATTCTGATCTGATGCATCTGAAATCTGATTCCACAATGAAAATATTGTAACCTATCTGTCTTGTATATAGCTTCTTTCCTTTGCTTTTCTCGGATATAAAATAATGTACACTTCTGGCACGGCTGGTATGGCTCAATGGTTGAGCATTGAACTATGAAGCAGGAGGTCACAGTTCGATTCCCAGTCAGGGCACTCGTCCTGATCTCGGGCTTTATTCCCAGTGTGAGGCATGCAGGAGGCAGCCAATGAATGATGCTCTCTCCTCATTGATGTTTCTCTCCCTCTCCCTTCCTCTCCGAGTTTGCTGCTGGGCCACTGGCTGGCTGCGGGGGCGTGGCCTTCGGGCACATCTTCCAAGATGGCCGCCCCCATTCTGACTTCACAAGGGGAGCGGCAGCCATCTTACGCACTAAGACGGGGGTGTGGGGGGGGGGAGAATCCCGTGCTTTGGAAAGAAGCCCCCCTTTTCCTCAAACGGCCACTGCTGAGCAAGAAAGGGGGCCTGACACGGTGCGTGACCGGAAGCGGAAGGAGGTTGGGAATTCTTTGAAACCTTCCGGGTCGCGCTGAGGAGGTTACCGGCGAGGCCCGTTAGGAATGCTCAGACCGGGGCCGTTGGTGGCGGCAGTGCTCGCTGAAGGCCGCCTGGGGGCGTTGGCGGTGGGCTGGGGTCGGGTGAGGGTGTCTGATGGTGAAGAGTTACGGGAGGGGCCGCTTGGCTGTGAGGGGGCCTTGTCCAGGGAGGCGGGGGGCCATTTTGCGGCGTGAGCCTGAGGCGGCTTCGGGAACCTTCGCTGTGTCTGGCGGCTGCGTGGGGCGGCGACCACCTCAGTGCGATGGCAGATCACAGCCTGTGGACTCAAATGACTGAACCTCCGGGCCGTGATCACCCCTCACCGCCAAGCGGCCCCTCGCGTAACTCTCCACCATCAGACGCCCCGCCCCAATCTGCGCATGCGCAGTCGCATAGCAACGCCCCGCGCACACCCACCCGGGACCGCGGCTGCGCATGCCCTTTAGGAACCGCCGCGCCTATTGTGACGCTATGGGCAGCGGAAGTGAGCGCCAGGCTCAGGGAGAGCGACCGTCTCAGAGCCGGCGGGGTTGTCCCGACAGCGGAGAACGCGTTCTCCAGCCCAGGAAGGGAAGACCTGTGAAGAAAGACACCGCGCTCTAGGAGGGACAAGGTAGGTAGGAGCATTGAAAAGTAATTCTAGCTGAAACCGGTTTGGCTCAGTGGTAGAGCGTCGGTCTGGGGACTGAAAGGTCCCGGGTTCGATTCCAGTCAAGGGCATGTACATTGGTTGGGGGCACATCCCTGGTAGGGGGAGTGCAAGAGGCAGCTGGTCGATGTTTCTCTCTCATTGATGTTTCTATTGTAACTCTCTATCCCTCTCCCTCTGTGTAAAAAATCAGTAAACATATATTTTAAAAAAAAAAGTTCAGTGAGGTGAGTGCTGAATATGTTTAATTGCTGAGAAACGACCAGACATTTCCAACGTGGCTGTGCCATTTTACATTCCCACCGGAAATGCTTGAGGGTTCCTGTTCCCCCACATCCTGTCACCAACATTTGCTCTTTCCCTGGCTTTGTTATAGGCATTCTAGGGGCTGTGACGTGGTATCTCAGTGGTGATTTTGATTTGCAGTTCTCTGAAGATTAATTATGTTCAACATGTTTTCTTTTTTCTATTTCTTTTTTATTAAAGTATTTTGTTGATTTTTTTTTTTTTACAGAGAGGAAGAGAGAGGGATAGAGAGTTAGAAACATTAATGAGAGAGAAACATCGATCAACTGCCTCTTGCACACCCTACACTGGGGATGTGCCCGCAACCAAGGTACGTGCTCTTGACCAGAATCAAACCTGGAACCTTTCAGTCCACAGGCCAACTGTCTATCCACTGAGCCAAACCGGTTTCGGCTCAACATGTTTTCATGTGCTTATGCTGCACATAACATTGAGGTACATGTCTCTTTACTAAATATGTTTAGCATTTTTAATGACTGCATAGTATTTCATTAGATGTGTGTACTTTTACCCATTCAATTACTCCTCTACTAGGCCTAAATAATACTTCTGCATCAGCTTTGCATGCATTTGCCATTATTTCCTTTGCAAACATTTCTAGACGTGGATTTTGGATTCTAGTAATATCTCTATTCAAAGTATTCAATGCACAGTGTTAAACTGTTCCCGCAAAATATTCACAGTCATGTAACACTGTTATAAAAAGTGTGTGTTTTGGAATGTTAACAATTTTCAGATAAAAATTTTGTAATCATCTGACTGAAATTTTTAAATCATTTTTAATTGATTGAGAGATAGGGAGAGAGAAACATCGATTTGTTGTTCCACTTATTCATTCATTCATTGGTTGCTTCTTATATGTGCCTAACCAGAGATTGAACTCATGACCGTGGAGTTGGGATGATGCTGTAACCAGCTGAGCTACCCAGCCAGGCCTAAAGCTTATTTATTTATTTATTTATTTATTTATTTTTAAAATATATTTTATTGATTTACAGAGAGGAAGAGAGGAATAGAGAGTTAGAAACATCGATGAGAGAGAAACATTGATCAGCTGCCTCTTGCATATCCCCTACTGGGGATGTACCCCCCGCAACCCAGGACTGGAATCGAACCCGGGACCTTTCAGTCCACAGGCCAGCACTCTATCCACTGAGCCAAACCGGTTTTAGCTTATTTATTAATTAATTTATTTTTGTTTATTTCAGAGAGGAAGGGAGAGAGAGATAGAAACATCAATGATGTGAGAGAATCATTGATTGGCTGCCTCCTGCACACTCCCCACTGTGAATTGAACCAGCAATCCGGGCATCTGCTCTGACCAGGAATTAAACCGTGACCTCCTGCTTTATAGGTTGAAGCTCAACCACTGAGCCATGCTGATTGGGCTAAAACTTATTTTTGATATATGCTTACTCAAATCTCTGAAACTCTGACTGCTGATTAATCATGTTAGGAAATGTCTTATAATTTGCTTCATCTTCTCTTATTGATTATTCTCACTTGGTTCTTTATCCAGTCAGTGGGGTCTCATTTCCAGAATGGAATAGATAACAGTGCTTACACTGCTCATCCTTGCCTTGCTCTTGACTTTAGAGAAAGTATGTCTATTGTTTGACTGGACAAATGTAGGATGGATTAGACTTTTCTCACTTGTGTTTTGACGTTGCTGTTGCCGGTGGGTTCTTGGAGCTGCCTCCTCCGCCATAAAGTGTCTCCTCTCTCTCTCTCTCTCTCTCTCTCTTTCCCTCTCTCTCTCTCTCATATTGTCGTTGGTACTTTTTAAAGAGGTAAACTGATGCAAATGCAATTTAAGTGATATTCTTTAATCAATCTTTTTTCCTCTCCAGAGATACCCACGGTCTTGAACTTGTTTTATGTAATGCGTGTTTTACACTGTTACAAAGTGTGTATACATCCACAAACAATAGTCTTGCTCTGTATGCTTTAATTTTTTTTTTTTTTTCTATTTGTTTTCCTTGGTATCACATAATGATTAGTGAAATGCTTGGCTTAAGACATTTGTCTTTACACTGAGGTGTATTTACAAAGATACATGAACACATATAATACTAAAGAAATAGGTGCCCGGATCCTTGCCTTTTTTAAAAATATATATTTTATTGATTTTTTTTACGGTGAGGAAAGGAAAGGGATGGAGAACTAGAAACATTGATGAGAGAGAAACATCAACCAACTACCTTCTACACACCCCCTACTGGGTATGTGCCCGCAACCAAGATACATGCCCTTGACCGGAATCGAACCCGGGACCCTTCATTCCGCAGGACAACACTCTTATCCACTGAGCCAAACTGGTTTTGGCCGGATCCTCGCCTTTTATATGTCTCTGTCCAATAATGTGTGAGACGTGCCCTGCAGTGGGGGCATCACATTATGCTGACCCAGAGGAAAAGTACACTCACAGCGAATTTACTTTTCAGCCCACAGGTCCTGGCTTGAGGACCAAGCTCTACCAGGTGGCCTGAGGAGGAGGTCTGAGGACCTGGATGTCGTCATTTGTGAGGACACCAGCAGAGTCTACGAGTTCTCCCCAGAAATTTAGAGCAGCTCGAGAAGAGACCAGAGACACAGCGTCCATCTTCCTGGCCATTCCCCGATCACAGGAGAAAATGATTAAGGACCAGGTGACTCCGGGTTGTTTTATTCTTTCCTTCATTCTGTGATTGGTTTCTGGAGGGCTTGACAACATGGTTGAATTACATGGAGGAGTCCCATTTGTGCAGAAGGAAATTTAGCCTCTCACTTCAACCTTAAGGCAAAATAGGATGAGGAATGTATTGTTTCCGGGAGCCCCGCTAAATAACTGATGTTGGAACATGGTGTGACTGGAGCATCGTATGGGTTACATGAGCTGTCACCTTCTGTCCAATATCTCTGATGGCCCTCCCAGCCAGAGAACCATGATGAAGACAAGCTATTCACTGACAGGGGGGACAGCAGGCCCTTCATAGGTGTTTCCTGACACTTAGGTTTAGGACATTTTGAAATATAAATATAAATATATATTTATTAATTTCAGAGAGGAAGGGAAAGGGAGAGAAAGATAGAGAAACATCAGTGATGAGAGAGCATCATTGATCTGCTGCCTCCTGCACACCCTACACTGGGGATCGAGTCTGCAACCCGGGCATATGTCCTTGACCAAAATCGAACCTGGGACCTTTCAGTCCGCAGGCTGACACTCTGTCCACTGAGCCAAACCAGTTAGGGCCTGCCTCATCTCTTATTACCTTTCCACCACACATTGTATATGTGGTCTGTCGTTGACCAAAACGTTGTTATGTAGCACGTGATTATATTTGAGTTTTTTGAAGGCTGCTGTTTATGTTCTTAGTCTGCTCAATGACTTGAATAGTCTCCTGTTCTTTGGGCATGTTTTGGAAAAATGCTTTAGTCCTCCTAATGTATAAAATGTATTTGTTGCCAAAGCCGGTTTGACTCAGTGGTAGAGCGTCGGTCTGCGGACTGAAAGGTCCCAGGTTCTGGTCAAGAGCATGTACCTTGGTTGTGGGCACATCCCCGGTAGAGGGTGTGCAAGAGGCAGCTGGTCGATGTTTCTCTCTCATTGACGTTTCTAGCTCTCTAACTCTCTCCCTTCCTCTCTGTTAAAAATCAATAAAATATATATATTTAAAAATAAATAAATAAAATAAAACGTATTTGTTTAATAGGTAGTGACTTACAGTTATACTGTGTGCATTTTTTTTTCCTGGTTGATTCTGATGATGGCTATCAAGATTGACAGTAAATGTAGGAATGGAATATGTTTTAGTTACCTTGATATTAGTAGTATATGTTTAGAACCTGGCAAATATTTGCCTTTAATATATATATATATATATATGCAAATATTTCTGGTTTTAGCAAGAAGATTTAATGACTACTTATTACATAAATACTTGATTTGTAGAATGATGGTTGACTGCACAATTACAGAATAGTTTCCTAGAGACTGATGTTGAATATGGATAGATTTTGCTTCTATAGCAATATAGTTTAAAAAAAAAAAAATCAAAACAGCCCTAGCTGGATGGAGTGTTGGCCTGCAGACTGAAGGGTCCTGGGTTTCATTCTGGTCAAGGGCACATGCCCATGTTGCAGGCTTGATCCCCAGTGTTGTGGGGGTGAGAAGGCAGCCAATCAGTGATTCTTTCTCATCAATGATGTTTCTACCTCTCCCTCTCCCTCCTTCCCTCTCTGAAATCAATAAAAATAGATTTTTAAAAAAATCAGAACACTTGATATACATGTAGCCTGTATGGTAAAAGTGAGCAGAACAACTTTCTTCACATCCTTCTCTCTCAATAACAAGAGACACACTCCCTGGTAAACAGGCCCGTGTTGTTACAGGAACCGCTGTCGCTGGAGGATGTGGCCGTGGACTTCACCCGGGAGGAGTGGCAGCTCCTGGGCCCCGAGCAGAAGGACCTGTACAGGGACGTGATGCTGGAAACCTACCGCCACCTGGTGTCCGTGGGTGAGGACAGCTCCCCTGTGTCACTCCGAGGGTGGCCTCTGATGGCCTCTGAAAGTCTGGAGTGTCTGTGATGCTCCAAAGCGGGAGATGAGTTTCAGTCCCCTCTCTGGTCCCAGGTTAGAGGACATAAGGTTCCTACTACAGAGAAAAGCCTTTACTTTGCTGACCCACAGGCTTGCGTAGTTCTGAAGGCTGTGGTCGGCAAACTCATTAGTCAGCAGAGCCAAATATCAACAGTACAATGATTGAAATTTCTTTTTTTCTTTTTTCTTAATATATTTTTATTGATTTTTTTAGAGAGGAGGGGAGAGAGATAGATTTAGAAACTTCGATGAGAGTCATTGATCAGCTGCCTCTTGCACGCCCTCTACTGGGGATGTGCCCGCAACCAAGGTACATGCCCTTGACCGGAATCGAACCCAGGACCCCTCAGTCTGCAGGCTGACGCTCTATCCAGAGTCAAACCAGTTTCGGCTGAAATTTCCTTTGAGAGCCAAATTTTGAAAACTTAAATTATATAGGTAGGTGCATTGTTATTAACTTAATCAGGGTATTCCTAAGCCGGCCTTTGCTAAAAACTCAAGGGGCCAAAGAGCCGCATGTGGCTCACGAGGTGCAGTTTGCCGACCACTGTCCTGACACATTCTTCTGTGTTAGCACACCAAAGCCCGTGTCAAAGAGCCCACTGGCATCTCTTCTGTCACTTCCCGTGAACAGGGTATCCCGCCAGCAAGCCAGACACGCTGTCCAGATGGGAACAAGGGGAGCCATGGACAAGAGAAGATGGACTCCACAGAGGGATCTGCTCTGGTGAGTGAGCGAGAGTCAGCAGGGAAGGCGGCCGAGGAAGTCCCGGTCTAGTCCGTCAGAGGCGTCAGGGCCGTGAGGTGTCTGAGGTCACGTACTCAGAGGCTCCCCGATCTGCCCATGAAGGAGCTCTTTTTCTGCAGGAGTTAGAGGAACATGTCTCTTCTTGGACCTGACCCCCGTTTGCTTCATCGAGGTCTTGATTCCCCCCGCCCCATGTTTCTTATAATTCTCAATCTCACCGCCTTCCTTCCCCCAGGAACAGTACCCGTTCCTTCATTTTCTTGCTCAGAAATTCCACCTCCGTTGCCTCTGTTCAAAGAGAGATGTGTGACGTTAGCGCTGTCTTCTGACTACAGCACCTTCCTGCCCCGTTGGATAAGGCTGTTACCCTTCCTAACACCCGCCCCATCTTTGATTGGGGTTAGGATTTTTTTTTTTTTTTGTCCATCGGTTAGGCTTATATGCATGCATGCATGCAACTCCTTTGGTTGATCTCACCCCCTTAACCCCAATCTCCCCTACCTTCCCTCTGAGGTTTGACAGTCTGATTGATACGTCTCTGGATCTGTTTTTGTTCATCTGTTTATGTTGTTCATTATATTCCATAAATGAGTGAGAGCATGTGATATTTATCTTTCTCTGACTGGCTTATTTTGCTTAGCATAATACTCTCCGGGTCCATCCATGCTGTTGCAAATGGTAAGAATTCCTTCTTTTTTAACCTCAGCATAGTATTCCATTGTATAGATATACCACAGTTTTCTAATCCACTCATCTGCTGATGGGCACTTAGGCTGTTTCCAAATCTTAGCTATGATAAATTGTGCTGCTATGAACATAGGGGTGCATATATCCTTTCTGATTGGTGTTTCTAGTTTCTTGGGATAGCGTCCTAGAAGTGTAAAACCCAAACTCTAAATGTTACACTAAATATAAACTTGATCCCATGCCTTCACCTTTGTCTGCACACTTTCTCAAACATGATCTCCTTCAGTCCTCTGTCCTTATGTAATATTTACAACTAATGATTCCCACGTTGCTATCTCCAGGTAAGACCTTTCTCAGGATTTCTGTATCCAGTTGAGTTCTTTGTGTCTGCATTGGATATCTAAAAGCCAACTGAAGGTTGATGGGCTTATTGTGAATTTCAGTAATTCCCTTCCTCATGAAAAGGCACTATCCACCACCCTGGCTGATGTGGTTTTGTTGGTTGGAGTGTCGGCCACACACCAAAGGGTGTCAGGTTTGATTCCCAAGTCAGAGCGCATACTTGGGTTGCCGGTTCAATCCCCAGTCAGGGTGTGTAGGGAGGCAGCCAATCAGTGTTTTTCTCTCCTCTCTCTCTCTCAAATCAATTTTTAAAAAATTTTAATGAAAAGGCACTACCTTATATTACCTGATTCCTCATACTTATTAATCACCCCTACATTGAAACTATGAGCCTTATCTTTTTCTTCTTTTCTGATTATATCCTGATTTCTTCCACTGTGCTTGCCATTGCTCCCCCAAACCACAGTTTGTACCTGCCTTCTTCATCATTGCTTGCTGGTTCACTTTTCCCTAACCAGAATGCTCAGTGAATATAAGGACTGTTTCTATACGCTCATGACCAACACAAGGCTTGGTACCTAGTCATCATTTAATAAGGATTTATGGATGTCTGAATGTGTCCCACATCATTTTAAAACAAATATCTATCTACTATGCTTCAGTGTTAATAGTAATTTGATTTTACTATCCCAGCATGCTTTAAGAGGTTATCAGAAAGCAAGCAAATTTTTTTTTAATATATTTTATTGATTTTTTTTACAGAGAGGAAGGGAAAGATATAGAGAGCTAGAAACATCAATGAGAGAGAAACATCGACCAGCTGCCTCTTGCACACCCCATACTGGGGATGTGCCCGCAACCAAGGTACATGCCCTTGACCAGAATCGAACCTGGGATCTTCAGTCCGCAGACTGATGCTCTATCCACTGAGCCAAACCGGTTTCGGCAGTAAATTTATATTTACTCATTTAAAAGAAAAAAAAAATTTTTTATTGACTTCAGAGAGGAGGGGAGAGGGAGAAAGATATAGAAACATAAATGATAAGAGAATCGTTGATTGGTTGCTTCCTGCATGCTCCTTACTGGGGATTGAGCCCAGAACCTGAGTGTGTGCCCTTTTTTGTTTTTTTAATCCTTACCTGAGAATATTTTATCGTAGCCTTTTTTTTTTCTTTTTTTTTCTTTCTTTTCTTTTTTTTCTTTTTTTTTTTTTTTTTTTTTTTTTTTTTTTTTCTTTAGTGAGAGGGAAAGACAGAGAAAAATATCAATGTGAGAGAAACACATCAATTGGTTACCTCCTACATGAGCCTGGACTAGGGGCCAGTCTGGGGAGGAGCCCGAAACCAGGGTACATACCTTTGACCAGAATCAAACCCAAGACCCTTTGGTCTGCAGGCCAACGCTCTATTCACTGAGCCAAATCAGCTAAGGCTGTATTTACTAATTTGGAATGAATTATACCTTATTTGTACAATGACTGTTTTTAGCTTTTATTTTCTTTGTTGTATTTTAACCTTGTCTAAGTGATAAACATATTTGCTTGGAGTTTCTTTAAACTGAGATCAGTGTTATCAATAAAGCGTCAGTATTCACAGAGCTGTTAGTGAAATAGTATTATTCTATACCAAGTTCATGCAAAGGATTTTTTCTTCTCTTTTCTAGAAACCAAGAAAAATGATGGTTACCTACAGAGGCACTTGAAAACTCAAAGATGTTTAAAGAGAACAGAACAGTGCCATGAACATAATACATTTGGAAACAATGTTCATTGGAGTAAAAGTAATTTTTCTTTAAAGCAAAATCATGATACATTTGACTTGGATGGGAAAGCACTGGAATCAAATACAAGTTTGGTCAACCAGAACAGAAGCTGTGAAGTAAAGAATCCAGATGAGGTCAATGGACATGAGAAATCTTTCCTCCATGCAAATCATGAGCAACATCATACTGAAACAAATTTTCCTGAATGTGTTAATTCTGTAAATACAAACTCCCAATCCCTCAAGGCACAAAGGAGTCAGAAGACAAGTAAACCTCATGTATGCAGTGAATGTGGGAAAGACTTCATCAAGAAGTCTCGCCTTACCGATCACCAGAGAGTTCATACGGGAGAGAAACCTCATGGGTGCAGCATATGTGGGAAGGCCTTCTCCAGGAAGTTCAGGCTCACTGAACATCAGAAAACTCACATAATAGAGAGACGGTATGAGTGCACCGCATGTGACAAAGCCTTCCCCAAAAAATCACAGCTACTCACTCACCAGAAAACCCACACAGGAGAGAAACCCTACGTTTGCGATGAATGTGGAAAAGGCTTCACCAAGAAGTCTCGGCTCGTTAATCATCAGAGAGTTCACACGGGAGAGAAGCCTCATGGGTGCAGTCTGTGTGGCAAGGCCTTCTCCAGAAAGTCCAGACTCATTGAACATCAGAGAACTCACACGGGAGAAAAACCTCATGGGTGCCGTCTGTGTGACAAAGCCTTCTCCAGAAAGTCCAGACTCATTGAACATCAGAGAACTCACACAGGAGTAAAACCTTACGAATGCTCGGAATGTGACAAAACCTTTCGCTGGAAATCGCAGCTCAGTTCCCATCAGAAAACACACACAGGAGAGAAATCGTTCATATGCAGTGACTGTGGGAAAAGCTTCATCCAGAAGGGCAATCTCATTGTACATCAGCGAACTCACACGGGAGAGAAACCCTATGTGTGCAATGAATGTGGCAAAGGCTTCATCCAGAAGGGCAATCTCCTTATACATCAACGGACGCACACTGGCGAGAAGCCCTATGTGTGCACCGAGTGTGGAAAAGGCTTCAGCCAGAAAACTTGCCTTATATCGCATCAGAGATTTCACACCGGAAAGACTCCCTTTGTGTGTACCGAGTGCGGAAAGTCTTGCTCGCACAAGTCGGGCCTCATTAACCATCGGAGAATTCACACAGGGGAGAAGCCCTATACATGCAGTGACTGTGGAAAAGCTTTCAGGGATAAGTCGTGCCTCAACAGACATCGAAGAACTCATACCGGAGAGAGACCCTATGGGTGCTCTGACTGTGGGAAAAGCTTCACCCACCTGTCATGCCTGGTGTACCATAAGGGAATGTTGCACACCAGAGAGAGATGCATAGGTTCCATCAAGTTGGAAAACTCTTTTTCAAAGCATCACAGCTCAGCTCATTTGAGTGAGGGAGTACAGGAGAAAACCCTGGTTGATACGGTGACTGTTGAGATGCCTTCAGTGGCAGGTCAGATTTTGTTACACATCAGTGGGTTCCTAGCAGATCGGAACGTGGCCACTGTGGGACCAACAGGTGCCGGAGGCACAGCCTCAGCAGCTAACAGAATTGGCATAGAGAAACCTTATGAATGCGGGGAATGTGGTAGCACCTTCAGTGACCAGTTATGTCATACGGTGTGTCTCAAAAAACACACAGGCGTAAACTGTAATACAATCAAGGCGGAAGACCCTTGAATTAAACATTCTAGCTCATTATGTGGCTTACAAGTGTCTGCTGAGACAAGTGCGCACACAGGCTGGGAGAGCCTTTCGCAGCACCATAGACCTAATCCGGGCTGCTCCATGTGTCACGTGTCATGGGTGAGCGCCTGGTTGGTGGAAGTATAATGACCATGGGAAATCCTTTTCTGGAAATAAGACTTCAGTAGGTGGTAGAGGCTTTACGCAGGGGAGAAATTGTTGGAATTTTGAAGTCAGTGATCATACCAGGGTTGTCTACCTCATCCACTGAGAGAGGAAACCCAAGAAATAAAACTGGGCACACTAACTGGAACATCTTCAGCAAAATATCAGAAAATGCATGAAGCAAATAAGGCCTGTGAGAATGAAGATGACTAGGGATTTGTGTCAAAATTCTAACATAATTATACATCAGATCATAGACACAGTGTACATTGTAGGACAATATACCTTGAATCGA